ATCTATTTGTAATCAGAAGACATACAAACAGGAATGTATATGAAACAGTGTTCAACATCACAAATCAAAGAAATGAAGATTAAAACCATGGTTTGGTATCATTTTAATGTAGCCAGGATGATTAAATTTAGAAAAAACAAAAATCAAATTCTTAAGAGGATGTAGGCAAAGGGAAACTCATCAACTGTTGCTGAAAAATGCAAATGAGAACAGCCACTATGTAAAACATATAATGTAGAAGTTCTTTAAAGACATGAATATAGAACTACCATATAGTTGATCCAATCATCTCATTTCTGGATATATATCAAAGTAATAAAGTCTTTACACCAAAAGGACACTTGCTCACATGTAGCATGCTTAATAGCCAAGGCATGTGTAATCAAGACTGTAAACTTGTAAGCTTCTAGAATGTATATATCGAGTTTTTTCTCAAAATGGGAGTAATAATTGGCAAAAGACTTTATGGCCTGTCATGAAGTAACCTACAAAGGAAATCTATTACTAGCCATAGTCAGATTCTTTCTCATGATGAGAGACATGATGCTGTTTGATGCTCTGTAAGTCCTTGATTTCAGTTCCAGTGCTGTGTAGTCCTTTGGTGACGGATAAGATGAGGCTTATATGTATAGTCAAGGTTACACTGGGGTGAGGCAGAAAGAGTCATGGCTTCCATTACAGGGATTATTTGTCTGTATGAGAGTTGCATCACTCTTCTTTTTCTGAGTTTATGCAAGACATCATGGAAGTCTGGCCTATATTGTTTTCAGGGTTGGTGACTCTTTACTATTTTCATGTATTGAGCTCAAAGAAGATGGAAGCTTAAGAGAAAGTTACATTATCATGTTGAAATAAAAAGAGTCGGTGGGACAAAGGCACAACTTTTTGTACATTCTGGATTCTGCCTTTCTTCCTAAGGGACACGAGTGTAGGATTATGAATCTCAAAATGACAGATAACACTTAAACCATCATGGAATGCCAATCAAAATGATTCTAAGATACCATCTTACACCTGTCAGAACGCCTAAGGTCAAAAACACAAATGACAGCTTATGTTGGAGAGTATGTGGGGGAAGAGGAACACTCCTTCATTGCTGATGTGAGTGAAAACTTGTACTGGCACTTTGGAAGTCAATATGGTGGTTTCTAAAAAAATTGGGAATCAATCTACCTCAAGACCCAGTGATACCGCACTTCGGCATATATCCAATGGATGTCAATCATAATACAATGACACTTGCTCAACTATGTTCATAGCAGCATTATTCATAATAGCCAGAACCTGGAAATAACTTAGGTGCTCTTAAACTGAAGAATAGATAAAGAAAATGTAGTGCATTTACATAATTGAGTATTACCTCTTGAAAATAACAACATCAGGAAATTTGCAGGTAAATGGATGGAACTAGAAAAAATCATCCTGAATCAGGTAACCCAGATCCAGAAAGACAAACATGTATGTACTCACTCATAAGTGGATATTAACTATTAAGTAAAGGATAACTATCTGACCCAGAGAGGCTAGGTAACAGGGAGAGCACAAGGGGGGTGGCGCATGGATCTCACAGGGAAAGAAAAATAGAGGAAATTTCCTGGTTGGACTAGAGCCAGGTGAGCATGGGAACTTGAGTGATCAGGTTGGAGGGTTGGCAGAGGGTGAGAGTACTGAGAAAGATGACTGAAAAGGAGAGCCTTAAGGAGTTGGACAGAAGCCTGATGCAAGGGATACTCATGAGTCTACAGGAGCAGCCACAGCTAAGACTCCTGGCAGCAGTAGATGCATAGCTTGAACTGACCATCCTCTGTGATTGGGTTGGTGACTACCCCAGTTGTTATCAGATAGCCCTTATCCAGTGACTGATGGAGGCATACTCAGAGACTCATGGCAAAACATTGATCTGACATGGGGATTCCTGCTATGGAGTGAGAGGAGGGATTGTAGGAGCCAGAGGGGTCAGAGACATCAAAAGAAATCCCACAGAAATGGCTAGCCTGACTCATGGGAACTCACAGTCTGAACCAACAACCATGGAACCGACCCAGGCACCCTGCATATATGTGGCAGTTGTATAGCTTGGTCTATTTGGGGCACTCCTAGCAATGGGAACAGAGCTGCTGTTCCTGGTGCTTTTGCTGAATCTTGGGAACATATTCTTCATATTGGATTGCTTTGTTCAGCCTGAATGCAAAGGGAGGTGCTTGGTCTTATGGCATCCTGATTTTCCATGCTTTGCTAATATGCCTATGGGATGGCTGTCCCTTTCTGAGAGAAGGGTTCTACTGAGGGGTGGTGGAGGAGGGGAAGAGGGGAGAAAGTAGGAAGAGAGAAGGGAGGCGAGACTGCAAGTAGGGCTGTAAGAAAAACAAACAAATAAAATGCTGGACTGTACACAACTGTATATGGCATTTTCTTAATTATTGATTGATGGAGGAGGGCCCAGCCCATTTTAAGGGGTGACACCTCTGGGGTGGTAGTCCTGGGTTCTATAATAAAACAGGCTGAGCAAGCCCTTTGAGCAAACCAGTAAGCAGCACCCCTCCATGCTCTCTTCTGGACCACAGTTTTTGTATGTTGACACCGAGGGATGGTTTACCATATGCACAATCTTCAGTGATGCTGGTATCATCTTAATTAATTATAATGTCTTAACTCTAGCTAAACAATAACAATTGTGACAGTAAAGCAAATATTTTACTTCAATAGCAGTATCTTCTCATTAATTACTGATGATTCTTCAGATCCAGCCTGCCAGATACCATAGATTCTTGATTCAAAGCATTAAATGACCCCAATGGAGCCTTGAAGGGACTTCTCTGAAACTCTATCTTTTGCATCAATGTCTACAGTATTATCTTCCAAACTCCCACAGGATCATCAATTGAGCACTGACCACTCATTGGCATCCCCCTCCCAAGTTCAAATGCGGTCTTCCCAAAACACATGGCAGGGTCTGTCACAGGAATATCCCATGACCCAGTATCAATCTCTGTCTCAGTTATGGTTTATTGCCGTGATAAAATACCATAACCAAAAGGAACGTGGGGATGAATTAGATTATTTCGGTTTACAACTGTCAGGTCACACTTCATTGCTGAGGGAAATCAGGGCAGGAACTCAAGCAGAGAAGGAACTTGGAGACAAGGACTGATGCAGAGGCCATTGTGGAGTATGGCTTACTGGCTTGCCCACATAGCTAGTTTCTTATAGCACCCAGGACCACTAGGCCAGGAGTGGCACTACCCTCAGTGATCTGGGCTCATATCAATTTTAAATCAAGGAATTGCACTACAGGCTTTTCTACAGGACAATTTGGTGTGGTCATTTTTTTCAGTTGGGATGCCCTTTTCCCAACTACCTCTAGCTTGTGTCAAGTTGACATAAAACTACCCAGCACAGTTGCCTCTCAGATGTTTAAGTTAAGCCCCTATCAATAAATTCATGACACATTTCAAAACCTTGAATGGGTAGATTGGAGCTGGATTTGACCTGAAATCCTCCCCTTTGAAGACAAGTTTTCATAGTATCAGAAGATGCTATGTAGTCTGCCAAGGCAGGGACACAACCAATAATCCTACACAGCTGTGCTGCATGAGAACCACAACAATGGCCATCATTACAAGATGTCCCTAAAGTATAATAGAGATACTCATTTCTTGGTGGTAAACTAGATATCTAAATGGACTAAAGGCCCATTCAATAGGAGGAATACCGTGTCTGCTCCTGGAAAGTTAGCCAACTACTAGGAGGTAGTGGAGTCATGGATGTTAGAGGGGAGTCTACTACTTTCGCTTTATCAAAAACAGTATAATTCCTAGTGTATTCTAAATACTTACCCTTATACCCACATTTAAGTCTAGGTCTTAACCCTCATCAAAGAAACTTCACTTTGCAGCAGAGACAAATATAGAAAGCCACAACTGGTCAAAATGCAGAGAACATCTGATCATGAAGGTGCCCATACTCAATGAATGCATTTCTCACACCTAAGGATCAGAGAACATGGACAAGAGGATTGAAAGATTGCAAAAGCAGAGGACCAGGATTTCAAAGTGGTTTTTACTTCACATTTCCTTGCTGGTGAGTGATGTTGAACCCTTAAAACTATTTGTTGGACATATATACTTCTCCTTTGGAGAACTGTCTCATAAGGGCATTGGCCAATTTATCAACAAGCACTTTTGAAATTTTTGGTGATTAATTTGTGCAGTTGTTTAAATTTGTAGATATCTAACTTCTGTTTGACATATAGCCTACAAAGACATTCTCTCATTTTGTAGGCTATCTGTTCTTTTCTGGTAGGCTCTTTGCTATATAGAAGCAGTTTAATATTCTGTAATCACATTTTTCAATTCCTGGGAATATTATTTCCTGTTCTTTTTGGATTCTATTCCAGAAGTTTTGCTTATACTAATATTCTGAAGTGTTTCCCTAATGGTTTCAGCATTTTAGGTTTTAAATCAAAGACTTGAATTGACTTTGAACTGATTTTATGCAGGGTTAAAAGTTACAGATCTAATTTAATTCTTCTGTTAGCAGCTATCTAATTTTGTCTGAACCTCTTATTCATTACACCATATTTTTCCCAGTGCACATTTTTACACCTTTGTCCAAAAGTAGCTAACCATACACATACAAGTTTATTTCTGTGTCTTCTATTCGGTTCTATTGTTCTAGAAGTATGTTTTAGTTTTAGTTCCACACTGTCTTTGCCACTATGGTTTAGTAGTACAGTTTGTGGTCAGGTAGTGGGACCAAGTACACAAGAAAAGATCCACAGGTAATTCCCAGGTGCAATTTCAATGGATGAGCACTCTTCTCCAGACAGGAATCATCACCCAAATCACTGTAGAGTTCCCCAGCACTCAGATTTGTGTGTCAGGTCTTTGGTTCCCAGAAACCAGCTTAGAGTAGCTTGTGGGTGGATGCCTCTAAAAACCACTGGGGAACAGTTGAATATCTGAGCCTAAGAGAGAACACTCAGTCTCACTTCCTCACTCTTCTTGCTTGGGTTTCCTGTCGTCACAACATGTTCATATTTTTTCTCTCTTCACTTCTCCTTTTACACAAATAGACTCAGACTTCTGTGTTACCAGCCTTTGCTGGCCACCTTAAAGATAATCAACAAATTCTACCTGAAGTACTGAGGGACACTGCCTACAAAAGGTAAGACTTAAGATTTTAACATCTCTGAAACAGCTAATGTGGGGCACAGCATCTTAAGAGTTCTCATACAGCTCTCTAGTAACTTTAAAATTTCTTACTTCACAAATATTTAGATCAGCAGTTCCCTGAGGCAATCTGGTTAGAAACACTTGGATTTACTATGTTATCTGATATCTCTTTGTGCCTGAGCTTCCTTGAGGACACATCACTACAGCACTGAATTGCTTACAGTGTATGGTGGTTTCTGATGGTTGAAGTTTTCTGTGTAAGATGAGTTTACATGGGAGAGATCTTCTATGCTGTTTGTTCTTTCAAAAACTTGAATTTTGATTTTAAAGTGGGGAGAGAAGTAATAGAGTGAGTTCTTTAGAACACTTGAGTTTTGATTTTAAAATGGGGAGAGAGTAATAGAGCGATTTAGAACAGTAGGCAGGAGATACATTGTCTTCATCAGAAAACATTTTATAAGGAAAGTTGGTGCTCTGACTGTCATGCTTTGGTAGAAGATGGGTTTAAAAAACTCTGCAGTGCAGTATGTGTCTTGTAACTGTACTTTATGATTTTATTCCTAGGCACCTCCTAAGGATGCTTAGCTTTGGGGCTTTCAAAGAGCAATACAAACATTATGATCTAAAGAGTTTCTTTCTCCACATTAACTAATCCTTGATATATGATGCATGAACATTGACAAATCTTATATAAAGTGTTCATCTGAAAGCAAACACTCAACTTGATACAGCAGTAGTTTCCAACTCGTGGACCAAAATTAATTTTAGGTTGCAAGTATTCAACATAGGGATACTCAAGCTTTGGTCCTAATTTTCTAAGACTAATATGGTTCTTCATTGTCAATACAACATGTCTGTATCAGGTCTTTCTTGGTCCAAGAGCTGCGAGAAGCTAATTTGATTATGAGCTAAACAAGAGAGAAGAAAGTCCCCTGTGACCACATTTACTCACTTAAAAATCAGGGGAGAGAATGGGGAGATAGCTGCAGCTTACCAAATCTCCCTCAGAGGCTACCAAACCCTATAATAGAAATAACAACTAGTTTTTAGTGAACTAAGATAACAATCAAGGGATAGGCACTCCTTGAAGTCTGACACAGATTGGCAGGTGCTGTGGATAAGGAGGAGAAATGAGGGAGAAAGGAGAACTTGTAGAGTAATAGTTCTGTCCTTAAAGAACTCTTCTGGGCAACTATACATGTTTTAGAAGACTGAGACAAAGAAAAATTGTGTCTGCTGGGTGAGCAAAGTTTTGCTTTCTCAATCTTAAAACGGAATCTTCAGTATTTTGAAACCAGTTGATTAGGAGCAGATGCTGAACTGAAATGTGGTTTCCTGTGGGGGCTGGTTAGATTATTTCTCTTTTACACATAACATATTCTCTTATCTTTATGTCCACAGGAAGTATTCCAAAGTCCAGGCCTTCACAGCTACCTTACTACAACTCAAAGGAAATCAGCTTTGTTTGTTAACAAGAGACAAAGATAGAAAGGGGAAACTCTACTGTTTTCTTAGCCTCTTATGTTGTCTGGTTAGCCTCTGATTGGCCAGGAGCCTACAAACTACTGCTTTCTTTTCTGATTTCTTACTACTCTACAATGCCCCAATGGCCAGCCATTGAGCTCAGGTTCTGAACACACAAATACAACTGACGTGTTTGTCAATCTCAGACATAGAGGTACAGATAACACAATACAATGTGCTGTTTTCTATAAAGTAGAGAGAATGTACACAAAATACAGGCGGTTAGGAGTCTGCCAAAGATTCCTTGAGAGAGAAGACTGACTGTTATGAATTTATTATAGAGACTGGGACTATTAACACTTCAGTTACAAAACATTACATATTCACTCAAAGGAGTATTATTTCCTCACTCTCTGCCACAGGCATGATAGAAATGAAGCAAGAGACACTACTCACATGACTACAGGAAGCACCAAGCCTTTTCTCCTACTTGACAATTAAAAGTAGATGGGAAGTTTATTGGACAAACAAGTCTTAGGTCTATTCCAGGGCAGATCTATGCCTGATACTTAGACACAACAATTTTGGTAGACTGTGACTTTGAATTGGGGAACAGAAGCAAATTTCTTCCTCTTTGACTTGGGTGTTTGATTCCCTTTATCAGAAGGAAGGGTAGAGTTTTTGTGACCTTATAGCCATTCTTTTTTCTTCAGTTTCCTTCCAACAACTAGTATGTTGATCTAGTTATAGTGCCTTGTGTTCACAGTCAGCCTACAGCACTTATTTATACCTCAGCAAGCATCCACTGTGTAGGTCACTCTGTGCACTAGGCATCTGTCCTAAGGATGTTATTAGGACTAGTTACTACTTAAGTGTAGATGTTGAAGCAAAAGAATCTTGTAGAAACCAGACACTTCTCTGATGCTAGGTAAGAGGGCAGTTGGGTGCTTGGATTATGAAGACTGTCTGAACAAAGGTTTTGAGAAAGAAAAAATATATACTTCCAAAGCCACCATGTAAAATCTCACAATATAAGTGTTGGGCTATTGAGGCAAATATTCTCTATTGATTATCCATTTTCATCAAATAGTAATGTGTTTTACTGTAAAGTTCCTTATGGTTTTAATATAATAAAGAGGATATGATATCTACTGGATAGACTGTGGGAGAGCTCTGAATAACTAATCCTAGTTTAAGTAATTGTCTTCTTAATAAACATCTCTACCTGTGCTAGTGGCCAGTAGCATCTTGCTGAGTCCCCAAGTGGGAGGAACACCTCCCACTATCATTTGGATTCATCTTTCCTCACTTATTCCATTTTCTATTTCTTGACCTTATTTTTCTTTTCATGAAATTTTTCTTATAAAAGGCAAACAAGTTTCACATTAAGCCCATAATGGCTCCCTCTATTAAGGTACCTCTTTCATTGCCCTCTTTCTCTGTTCTTCCCCCAACTCTTCCTTTCTGATCCATCATGTTCTCCTCCCAAATTCCCATCTCCCCTCCTTTATCTCCTCCCTTCCTCCCTTTTCAGTGGTTCATGTATGTCTTTTTTAGGGTCCTCCTTGTTTCCTAGCTTCTTTGGGTTTCTTGATTGTAGGCTGTTTATCCTTTGCTTCATGTCTAATATCCACTTATGACTGAGTACATGCCATGTCTTTCTGTGTCTGGATGAGGAGAATGGGAGGACAGGAGAGAGCACATTGTATTGTGTTTTGTGTACTCCTATGTTTGCCCTCCATCCATTTACCTGCGAATTTCAAGATGTCATTGTTTTTACCACTGAGTAGTACCCCATTGTGTAAATGTACCACATTTTCTTCATCTATTCTTTGGTTGAGAGACATCTAGGTTGCTTCCAGTTTCTGGCTATTGCAAATAATGCTGCAATGAACATAGCTAAATAGATGTCCTTGTGGTATGAATGTGCCTCCTTTGGGTATATGGCTAAGAGTGGAATTGCTGGTTCTTGAGGTAGATTGATCCCCAAATCTGGCATTTCAGAAATTTCCAGGAATCCACAAGGATGACCCCAACTAAGAATCTATGCAATAGTAGAGAGGCTACCTTGTATGCCCTTCCCCTATAATGAGATTGATGACTACCTTAAATGCCATCATAGAACCTCCATCCAGTAGCTGATGGAAGCAGAAGTAAAGATTCCCAGGAGCACTGAGCCAAACTCCTGAAATCCAGTCATAGAGAGGAAGGAGTGATGAGAAAATAGGTGAAGACCATGCTGGGGAAACCCCCAGAAACAGCTGACCTGAGCATGTGGGAGCTCATGAACCCCAGTCTGACAGCTGGGGAACCTGCATAAGACCAAAGTAGACCCTCTGAATGTGGGTGTCAGTTGTGGAGGGGCTTGGGCAGTCTACAGGGCCACTGGCAGTGGAACCAGTATTTATCCCTAGTGCATGAATGTGTTTTGGGAGCCCATTCCCTATGGAAAGATACTATCTCAGTCTAGATACATAGGGGAGGGACTACGTCCTGCCCCAAATGATGTCACAGATTTTGATGATTCCCCCATGGGAGGCCTCACTCTCTCTGAGGAGTGGAAGAGGAGTGGCATGGATAGATGATAGTGGAAGTGGGAGGACAGGAGGGAGAGGGAACTGGGATTGGTATGTTAAGTAAGATTGTTTTAATTTAAATAAAAATTAATTTAAAAATGCAAACAAAACTTTTAAAGAAGCATTTCCAAGAAACAAAATGAGGAAAAAGCTTATTAAAGCCTTTTCAGCCCCTAGTATATTTCACTCCTGAGACCTCTCAGGGTGTCAGGGCCACTCTCAGGATGACTTGGTCTTTTACTCAGCACTCACTGGACCCTGGGGACTGAACCATTCTGGAAATTCTATCATACTGTCTCTTTAGAACACCTGTGAGGGAAATATTAACAGTCCTATTTAAAGATTTGGACGTTTGATAGATTAAGGAAGTTGTCCAAGGCTGTAATTATGATTAATCACAGTGCTGGAACTTAAACTAAACCTGATTCTAAAATTTTGTTTATCAAGGCATGATGTGTATACTTTGAACTCAATGAGTCATCTTCACCAAGTTACACTGATCACATCTGGTTTTTCCATGCCTGGAGCAACTGCAGTCAGAGATAACTTGCAATCTGACTCTACTTGATCCTACCTGAATAGCTACAAGTCCACCAAAGTTCTGCACTTTGCTGAAGCTGACATTAGGTTGACACACAGGCCCATGTCTTAATATATCTGTGGAGCATATCAACAAGAGATATGTTCTCCCATAAACGTCTGCCTATCTTGAGTTGATATTTACTGGCCTGTCAATAAATAGACCTGTCAAAATAAATAACCTTCAATGTAATGACACAAGTATTATGAATAAGAAAATTTCAGTATAAGAAAATTGTGTGGCTTTGTAAGTATACTCCTCTCTGACAGACCCACATGAACATTAACTTACAAGTTTATTAATAGGTACACAGTAAATTCATTCAATTTTGTTTTTTAAATCATTTCATTTACCTTTTGAGAGTATAATTAC